GTCGGCCCTGCCGGTGATCGGTGGCTTCCTTGCAGAGCTGAAGGACCTGAACAGCTCCATGACAACCCCTGAGATGGCCAGAGAGGTCGGGGAGCTGAGGAAGGACTGTGCGAGTTACACAGAGAAACTGGAGAGGATCAAATCTGCCACCAACCACGTGACTCCGGAAGAAAAAGAGAAGGTAAAGAGCTGCCAGGGCTGAGCACCGACAGCAGAGCCTGGGCCAGGGCTGGGACAATCGTACCAGGCCTTCCACCAGGTTACCCAGTCCCCAGTCTGATTGACACCGGTGCGACAGCAGCAGGGGGTTGTGTGGGACCTGGGCGGCCCCGCAGAGCCCGTGCACGAGTGTTGGCTGCGTGGGCGATGGTGACGACTCTCGGGGCGTCCTTGGGAAACAGCCTGAGCTGCCTCTTCCTTGCAGAGCTTTGCTTGGGGCAGTTGCCTGCCGCTTGGTCAGGTCGTCTGGTGTCCCGTGATCCATTTCACAGAGAGGTTCACGTCCCCGCAGAGGCTTCGCGAGCCACTTGTGCTGTTGAACAACCCTCTGGCTGTAGCTGGGGCGTCTGGTGGGGCCTTGGGCTTACAGCGGCTTCGTGGGGAGGCTGCTGCCTCGTTGGTTCTCACCTTGCCTTGCTGTCGGCAGGTCTGCAGCGAGCAGAAGCTGTACTGCAAGGATTGGCGGAGGAGGAAGCGAATGGTAAGGGTCGTGCCATCGAGCGGGGCGGGTGGGCGGCACCGGGGAGGTGGCGGTGACACTGGCACCCTGACGGGGATTTTTTTTTGGGAGGGGGAGGTGCGGGGCAGCGCGGGGAGCAGCCCCAGCTTGAGCCGAGCTCCTTCCCGCTGCTGCGACGCTGAGTGAGGAGAGCGCTGGAGCTGCGGAGCGGGGAGAGCTGTGCTGGCCACACTCGGTGCCACCCCTGGGGCCACGCGGGTTTGGGGCAGAATCACGGGTCCCACGGCAACCCCCTGGGCAAAGGCCGTGGCACCGCAGAGCTCTGCCTGTCCGCGGGAGCCAGA